TCATGTTGTTCTGCTGAATGCAATACCGCTAATGAAATTAATGAAAACAACTATAACTTGGATGTTTTCCAACATATTTTTATGCTGAGAAAAATCTAAAATCGGAAGACTTTATCATATACTTGACATAGAAATGATTGGTAACTTAAAACTAAAGGTTAGATTAGGTAAGGTTAGATTGAACCGGCCGGCCCTCCTGAGGGGGCAAGTATAGGCCAGTATGGCTCCAATTTATCCGGATGTTGTTATCATCCGGTGTTGAAGTCCCTTAGTATCGCGGTAGTTTTTGGTGAGGCAAGGAGTTCATATTCATCGCATTTCCTGCAGTTGCTGTTATTGATGATGGCCAGCTTGACTGCATGACGCGTAAAAATTCCCACTAATAGTCTGGAGTCTTTTCGGGATAGATGCAGTACGTAGTGGCTGAGTTTGTCATTGAGCTCTGTACACATAGTTTTAGATATTTAGCAGGTTGCGGAGTTTCCTATAAACCTGCTTTTTGCTAGTACGTCCGCCCACATTTCCAACTCCCTTTGGAGCGTTCTTAGAGAGACTGGGATATTCTCTGTTCTATCGTAAGCCAGTCCGACTCCTTTCTTTTCAAGTTCGTCTGCGGTTTCGTTTCTATCTATGCCCTGGTGGCTGGAAACACAATAGATCCGCACTGACGTTGTCGTACTTAGAATATCTAGTGCGTTCCTGCTTGTCGGTACATTTTTGGAACTGACCGCTGACGATTGCGTGGTCTAATCGCCGCCTGAAAACTTCCGCCTGGAATATGCTGCATTGGCTTGGGAGCTTATATGACAGCCTCGTCTCGGGGTCTGTACATTATATGCCTGCTCCGAATCCTCCTTCCGTCTTGTAGCCATCAGTGCATATGTTGAGGTATCGAGCATGGTCCTGAATAGTTTTTCAGTCTTCAGGTCCCGTGAATGTTGATGTTTTAACATCAGGGCAAGTTCTAGGTATCATGTAGTCAGATATACTGCTCACCAATTGAGCTGTGCCCGTATCACTGTAGGGGCACATTTGCTAGAGCTACTAGGCATTGTGCAGCCTTTCCCGCAGTCAGTTGCGCGTGGATATTCGGGGGATCAATTCCAATTATATTCTCTAGGGCTTTTGTGGCGGTTAACTTCATCGCCCCAGATATGCAGAGCAGTGCTTGCCGCTGGGTTCTCTCCGTAAGCTTTTTCTATGTCCTAAGCTTTCTATGTGGCTTGCCACCACACTAAGACTCCGTTTAGCAGTGTCGGACCCACCACCGATATGTAGACCCAGTGCATCAGACCGGGTGAGAGACCCAATATCGCAATATCGGCCTTTTTCTATGCCAGCTTGCTGTTCAGTACAGTGCCAAGGTATTTGACTTGTGTTTTTGGTGTCAGCCTGGTTGTATTGATTTTGTCAAAAGGATGAGGTCCATCTTATCCGCATTGATACTGAGTCCTACCTTGTCCGTCCACTCACATATCTCCCTGAGTGTTGATTCCATGATCGAGCTAAGGGAATATGAACATACTCCAGTAAAAATTATGCTTATGGCATCAGCATAGGCTGTTATCTTCTGGGCCTTCCTGTCGAACCTTCTGATTAGGTTGTCGACCACTCCACCTTGCGGCGTGCCTCTGTGCGCTCCTTTCACCATGGAAGCGGTGCCCCAATATGATTGTATCCGTCTGCAACTTAGTAGATTTCTAATCCAATAGTTGATGGCGGGTTGCGTGTAGGTCGCTCCTAGGCGCTCCATTATTGCGTCTGTGCTTACAATGTTGAATGCCCCGGATATGTCTACAAAGACTTCGAGCGCATATTCCTTGTTGTGGAAGGTTCTCTCAATGGTGGCTATTAACAAATGTAGCGCCGTCTCCACTGATTTCCCTTTGGTGTATGTATGCTGGTTGGACAGTAATCTGCCCACATCGTTTCTTATGTATAGGTCCAGCAGAATTTTTTTTGTATGTCTTGAGTAGAAAGGAGGAGAGGGTTATCGGCCTGTAGTCCTTGGGACTGACGTGGCTGCACTTTCATGCTTTGGGCACTAAAAAAAAATCCTCGAGGTCCTCCATTGGGTTGTTATATAGTCCGTACCAATATTAGCTGTGTAGATTGCGTTTAGCAATGGAGTCATAATATCTATGGTCGTCTACAGCATGGCTGGAAATATTCCATCTAGTCTTGGCGCTTTTATCCCCGCAAAGGAGTATATAGCCCAGTGGATTCTTCTAGAGAATATGAAATCATTTGGGAGATGCTCTTCCCTAGTAGCTAGTACCTGGTGCTTGTTAGCATTGGTGACCTCTGTGCAACCTGGGAGTGCGCGTGCATTAGTGCTTTTAGAGCGTCTTCGCTGCCCTCAGTCCACAGTCTATCGTCGCGTTTGAGCTGACTCTGTATGGTGGGTTGCTTTGAAAGCAGCTTTTCTATATCTTCATTGAATTTTACTGTGCCCGGACAAGTCCCGAGTGTCCGAGAGATTATTTGCTTGAACTTTCCCTAGTCAGTGTTCCGGGTGTTTCTAAAGACTATCTAGCAACATCACAGTAAGGTCGTCCGAGCTGTAATGAGACATAAGCTTAGCTTGAAGACCCTTCCGTACGAGTACGGCGGTTCTGTTCCTGCTTACCGATGGTGAGTAGAACGCGTTATAGCTTGAGGACTTTAGTCCGGCGATGGCATTGCCAGAGGCAATCCACGGCTCTTGGGCTAGAGATACATCGGCGGACCCTTGCTCCATGGCAATGAGGAGTTCCGCCGACGCGACCTTGCTCTTATAGATATTGAGCTGCTGAACCCTTAGAGACATGGGTATCGCTCATGAGCTCAACTCCACTCGACGGGTTGACTACTATCGTCAGGTCACCGTCTTCTGCCTCTTCTGACTCATCCAGCGTCAGTTCCTGGGCGGCTTCGGCAATGGTTTCCAGACCTAAGTCTTTCTCCACCTCTCTCCACAGCATTCAGGCTGTGATCATCCTTATCCCCGGGGTGGCGCTTTTTGAGCCGCAGGTATACGCTACCCCTGCCCCACGCCATCTTCCCGTATATGGGATACAGGATTTCCTCTGCCTCCATGTTAATCTGGAGGACTGCGCATTTCTATTGCCCATCTTTGGGTAACGGTATATATATATAAGCGGTATATACTAGCATTTAATAAAAAAATGGAAATAAGTTGTTTTTATTATTAGATATTTTTAACCCTGTGTAAAGCCCGTTTCACGAGGCGCACATTTGAGATCGGAAATGTCCCCGACACAAAGTTGCGCCTTTGTTTTATTATTTTTCATCTAGTTTCTTTGAGTATACAATAACAAATAGGCCATAAGTTGTTTTGTAAAGCTAAGATTAGGCTTAGTCGGCGATGAAGCGTTACCCATGGCGTTACCATTCGCGAAGCTTGCAGAAGCCGAGACGTGCCTCGCTCCCCTCCCCTGGACTTGTGTGCGAAACACGTGTATTGGAATATCAGCCGGAGATGCCCTTAGGATTGATCAAACGCGCGGATCCGGTGCCAATCGCCACCTAGCCTCCACGCCCAGCCGAAGTCGATTGCCTCTTTCGTTCCCCACCAGACGTACGGTCTCCTTGTCATCGCTGAGTCAGACACCAACACGTCGCCCGCCTCGCTGAATCCGGCGCACACAGCCAATCATTCGCGTCTCACAAAGCGCGACCGCCGTGGACGTCTGGCGCCCAAGCCTACCATACCTGCTATACCCCCTTGTCCATAGCGCTGCCACGGTTGCCTGGTCAGGATCGTGGCGAACACACACGGTGGCCGGGCCTTGGGAGCTTTGTACGTCCCATAGCCTACAGCTTTCGCGAGGCTGGTCGGCAAAACAGATCTGCAAGCCGAACGTGTGTCAGCGGAAGTAGCTTTTGAGAGGTTGGCGGCAAAGCAGACTGCGATAAGCAGAGCGGATTTTTCGCTTGCTGTTCGCTTCCCGGCTCACCGTTCGCTGTCACTTAACCGGCCCCAGCCGCTGATACAAGGTTAAAAATTCGGAGCTCAAATCTCTCATAGGTGTTCATAACTCATTTATTCGAATTCCTACTGTCACTTCCATCTTTCTTTACAAAGATTCTTGTATAGGTTCCTTAGTCGCTACTTAGATCTACCCCGAGCAGAGAAAAACGTTACATCTGATATATGAAAATCTGACGCCTATATCTTTAAGTTGCCATAGAAACTATCGTTAAATAAAGAGAAAAATGCAAAACTCTACATATAAAACTGTAGCTGTAAAACTGAATATAAAATATGTCTATTCGAATTTAATGAAAGTATGCCATACTTCGTTTTATGTATGTAAAGTTTATATTGTATTAATTTTTATACCATTGCAGGGTTTTAAAATTTCAGTCACAAGTTTTCAACGCAGTGGTGAAGTCATCTCCGACCATATATAGTATATATAGATATATATATATATATATATATACAGCATCAACAGCGGAGTCGATCTAGCCACGTCTGGCTGTCCGTCAGTCTGTCCGCCCGTCTGTCCGTCCGTCTGTCATTTCATTTGTACGATCCTACGCATGTCCCTCAATTTTGAAGCTATCTCAGTAAAACTTTACAGTTACTCTTCTATATACTCTCACTCGTAAATATGTCGGGACGGGCCGGATCGGATGACTATATCATATAGCTGCCATAGGAACGATCGAGAAATTAATATAATTAAAAATTAAATCTATTTTAGTTTTCAACCGATTTTCATCAAGTTTAAAAAATGATCATTTTTTTATTATTCTATAATTTTTGTTTTAATTTTATTAAAATCGAAAGAATATTTCATATATCTGTCATATGAACGGTCATAAGATATAAAAGAAAATGTAAAAAAAATACACTTTCAATTGATGGCAGTGCAAATTTTAAATTTAAATTTAAATTTTCGGAAATAAGATTCTTTTATTTATTAAACTTAGTATAAAAATTGACCTTATACATAGCATTTTATATAAATTTGTATGAATTATTTTTTTAGGGTGGCTGGTGGTGGAAGTCCTGTGGCAGGGGATTAAATGGTCTTTACTTGCATGATCCACAAGATCTAACAGCTCGTCAAGGGATAGTGTGGTTTCGTTGGAGGGGTTGGGACTATACCCTGAAAAAGTCCACTATGATGATTCGTCCTAAAATATCCCAACTACAGTCATTGTCTGGAAACTCAATGTAGACAATCGGCGAAGCTATAAACATTTCCTTTGTTATATTTGAATAGTACAGGCACAGTAATTAAGGAGTGTTGTGGTTGTAAGATCAAAGTATTCTTTACGTGTACAATTTGATTTAACCTAAAAAACCATGTTCCATGTTAGAGAACAGCCGCACGTGCTTTAAGGCTATAAAAATGTATACCAGTCAAATTAAATCGGTCACTGAATTGGCGATCAGAACCTGGAAAAGCATGAAATAAGTTTACTTTGATATTTCGACCCAAACACTTTTTTGGAGTGACTTTGGTAATTATAGTAGCTTGTAAAATACTTAAATACGGTAATACATTAAGATCAAATGTTTAATAGAAATAAAAAATACATGTGTTTCTTGTTTTTCCTGTTTTAATTTTTCGGAGCGGACTAGAACATTTTTAGTCTAACTGATGTTATCGACAAGCAAATGAAAGCGAAAATCGAAAGAACATCTCTCTTCACGTGAAAATTAGGTTTGTAAGTTAACACACCCTGTTCCCACAAATAGAAACTGTCGATATCCGGTGGCCAACATCCGCAGTAAAGAAAGTACCGACTCCGCACTCCGGGCGCAATCACCCGGAGTCCGGCCAGAACACTCGGTCATCTATACTGGCTGGATATCAAATGCTGTTCCTGCACTTTGGCGGCAGTCCTACAATCAAGCAAAGACCTCGAGCTGCAGCTGGATTAGACCTTATAGTTATTCTCAAAACTGTACTCCACAGCCTTTGCTCTGTTTATATAAAATATTAAATACATCTTTATACTAACCTTTACCTTAGCAGGCTTCGGGGACATAAATGATTATTCGATAAATAAATGATTATTAAAATATCTAAACCAAATCTAATTAATTGACGCCCATCGTAACCGACTTACACAGTTTTCGGTAAGGTAAGGTTCATATTTATGAAAGTAAATTTACTTAATAATAATAATTGTAATAATTGCAAAAAAAAATTAAAAAATTATATAATTTAATAAATCGACCTCCAACCGCGGCCGGGAAAAACTTTTAGAAGCAGGAATGAGAGTATGCCAGGAAAAATAAAAATTCTGTAAAAAGAGCGTTGATTACTTAGAGTCTCAATCAACTGAGTCAGCAACACATGAAGGGGTGAGTCACGTCGAGAAATCACTCATCTATTAGCAATACACGATGGCCACATTCTTGAATATAGAAGGTGCGTTTAACAACGTGAATCCAGTCGAATCCATCGTGAGCCCCCTTACTCGATAGGTACTGAGAGAGGCATCAGAGAGATCAAAGATAAAAAATTCCAAGATAAAGCATGGTAAGACCGTAACGTAGTAACGCCAATATTAACGTATGGGGCTCTAGGCCCGGCACTCGCCAGAGCCAACAATATTACAAAGCTAACAAGAATACAACAGAGACTGAGTAACCGAACAAGATAAGGTATCACTCTACACCGATTGCTACAAAATGACTTGAGGGGTGGGGGCAGGGATTTTCGATAAGAACTGGGGGATTGAATCGACTTTAGTCTTTCAGAGCCAGCGACAGTCTTCCAAACTGAGGTTCTTGCTATATTGGAGGCAGCAACACTCTCAATACAAGCAAGGCCTAAGGAATACCAATGTGAGGATCTACTCTGTTTGTCAGGCGACTATCAAAGCTCTAGAGAGCAGTTAGTAGCAGAATGCAGGGATGACCTAAATGATCTTGCTCGAGATAACGACATCAGAATAACCTGTATGCTAGGACACAATGACATGAGAAAGCGGACGAGCTAGCCAGAGAATAGCGAAACTGTTCTGGGCGATAGAATAGCGTGCAATGAAGATGGTACTACCCCATAACACAAACTTCAGTAGGTGAAAAGCACCAACGGAGCAGGAGACGCCAAAGCACTTACCCAGCTTTAAGAATAACCAGAATGCGTCACTCCGGTGCCTCCCAGCTAAAATCGCTGGGACGTTGATGCACTACTATTTGGGTTAGGTGTTAGTATGCGCGATGGAAAATATAGGACAGAATACGAGGAAATTGACTACCGACGTGCTGCCAGGTTGTTTGCTAGGATATTTACTAAGTGAGTTAGTGTTAAAGATTTTAGTTTGGGAAGACTATCTACGTTGGAGATTATTTTGTACAAATCATTATAATTTGCACAAAAGGTTCTAATAAGTTCTTGCAATTCAAAGGAGGTTCTACAGTGGCACATCACTAACGGTATAAAGGATGTAGCACTTATACATGGTACGTGGAAATTGAGCTGATTCAACAAGTCAGCACTTTCCACATCACCATGGATAAGATTATAAATAAGGGTTATTCTTAGCATCGTTCTACTATTGTCCAAGGACGGTAAGTTGATTAAAAGGAGCCTATTAGAATAGGAAGGTAACGATTGGTTTTCATCTCAATTAAAACCGCGTAGAACGAAAAGAAAAAAGTTCTTTGGAACCGATTCTATGCGTTTTCTATGGACGCCGTACTTCGAAGCATGGAAATGCAAAATTGCTGCCATCCATGCTTTTCTCAATGATTCGGGATGGTACTGAGGAAGGCAAAGTCAAGAAGAGAGGATCAAAACGGAGCCCAGCATTATTTGGAGGCTCAAGATGACTCTCACTACCTACCTACCTACAGCTCACTATCTAGCCTCGGTCCGTTGCCCGAGTCCTGATTTCAGAGAACTATTTATATGGCAGTGCAACGGCCGAGGCCAAGGGTAAAAACCTTTTCTCATAATCCAAAAGATAGTCCAGTTAAATTTTAGGAAATTATTAGAGAGCTTACAATGTAGCTTTGCTGTATAGATAAGGCGACAGAAGAAGACATAGACAGTAGCTAAAGAAGAGAACGCTTAAGAGCGCAGCAGGTGCAGCGGTACACGTATGCGCGCATAATTAGGCGCTTGCGGTCTGCTCCAAACATACTCCACTCGTTGAAAGAGGTACTGTTTTAACTGCCCGTAGCAGTACGGACCATGGCTATTCTGATTTCTTCAATGCGCTCAAGTTGCAACACTGTTTCCGACCTTCCTTATCGAGAGTTGAGAATGGCGGAAATCTCATAAGACAGAGTTCGCAATTCATCAAGGAAGACGGAGCGTCCGAAGACCCTGTAAAAATGATATTTTGCCGCCTTGAACTTATCCTCTATATGGCAAGCAACGCTTGTGATTCTGCATGCAAAATATTCTATGAAAATGAACGATGATTGCCTTTGTGACTGCATGATCCTTAGGTAACAATATCGGATGCCTCTTATAGTCCAAGTTTGAGTTCTGCAGCCTTCCAGAAACGCGAAGTAATCCATCGAAACCGAGCATTGGACTCAGTAAAATCAGACCGCTTGCCTGTGCACACGGCTTGCCCTGGCTCTTTGGCCAATTGAACCTGTTGGATGCTACTCAGAAGCAGTACAGTTCCCAGGTGTATCTTCTCAACCAAAAAAAGGTCTTTTAGAGGAATGCTTTGCTTTGGAATTGGCAATGAAACGATGAATGTATGCAAATACGCGCTGCAACATATCGAAAGTGTTGATGAACTTACAGCTCGAAACGTCAATGCAAACGGCTCCAACTAGAGTTGCGGAATGACGCTCTGGAAGATCCTAAACTGGCTGCAGCAGAGAGGGCCGATTCGATGAGCTTTGAAGAAGATAAAAAGGTCACTTAGCACAAAGGGAACGATCCAGTAATTCTCTTAGGGTACATCCTCTGCCGGACTTAAAATTGTCGGAACGTGATGGCAAGTCATGTCTTTCTTCATCTTCTGTATTTTCGCGATTCTGTTTGACACAAATATGTTGAACTCTCTCTGGGAGGCTGGCTAATCCATGCCACCACAATAGACGAGTTAAACCAGCAGTTCGCTACGATAAGCTCACTCAATAATAGTGCTGCCGAGGGTTCCAATCTTAAAATTGTCAAGGCTTTCAAGGGAGCTACTCTCGACTTGGCACAGAGCAAATGGACCCTTAATTCTCCATTAACCTCCGATCGCAAATATAAACACGCTCCATACGCTGATAGGCTAGCATCGCAGAATCCATGCAATTCAACGGAAGCCTGTGGTTGCATTGCAAATAGTGAAAATTTTATGTTCTTGATGATTACCAACTGAGAGGTCAGCTCCCCCAATGACGAAAGAATGGGCTCTGGCACTACGTCATCCCATTAGCAAAACATAAGGATTCTAGAAAGGTTTTAGATTTTGTAATTATTGGTATAATTTGTCCAAGTGGATCATAGAATTTGCAATTGTTGACAATGCAATTCGCTTGGTGGGAGGATGAGTTGTCGGTATTTGAAAGAAATTAAATAGGAACTGATCAGACGCCGAATCCCAGGCCAAACCCAAGGCCTTGGCGTTTTCCGATCAATAGTGGAATTTTAGTAACTGTTCCTTGTCGCTGTATGACTCCCTTCAAGGGCTCCTGCATCATTTGAACACCATTTGCAGATTGAAAAGTGCCCTCGCGACAGTAGCTCCTTTACCTGGCAACTAATTTCTCTCACCTCTTTAACTGAACTACCACCAGAAATTAAATTATCCACATAGAAATATCTACGAACAATTTTGGCTCCAACCGGGAATGATTCCTCCTCATCATAAGAGAGCTGATGCATGGCTTCTATAGCCAAGAAGGCAGCTGGCTTAGTTCCATAAGTCACTGTGTTTAACTTAAAAACACTAAGCTCGTCCGTAGAGTTCTCTCGCCAAACGCTGCACTGCAAAAAGTCATCAGGATGCAATGGCAACTTTAAGAAATCGAAAGCGAAGCAGGATGTTGAAGATTTTTCTTTGAATCTTTGGCCCTGAAAGAAGTAAGTCATTCAGAGACCTACCAGAAGTCGATTTAGCTCGATTTATCAAACACGACACGCAGCTTGGTGCTCGTGCTTTCTTGTTAATGTTAGCAATGGTGAGGAAGAAAGAATTGTGGTACCGATGGAGCCCTTGTTACACGAGAAATGTGACCTAGCTCCATATATTCCGCGTCAAAACGCCTAGTACTGAGTCCTTAAAGCTAGGTTCCTATCCAATTTAGCTTCCAAGGTCTTGAAGCGACGACGAGCCAGGCAATAGGAATCACCTTAAGATTTGAATCCAGATGTGGACAAGAGACTGCCCATTTTCAAGCCTAACGCAACTTTCCTTAAAAAGCTGCTCGTATCGCAAGTCTTCAGGCAGCAATACTGGTTCTGACGAACTGAAGTCCTCGATTTCACAAAATCGCTTAACTACGGCAGCAAGTGTGTCATCATTAAAATGATTACTAGGATCCTTAGCAGCTAAGACAGATTTATGAGTTATGAAATGATCCAACCAAG